GCATAATTTCTGACTGATTAACTGATATATGTGCAGGTACTACAAATTTAGCGAATATATCGCCTAACTGCCTGTGTTGTTCAGGAGAGCTGTACGTGCTTTTACCAAACTCTGTTATGTCTGGTAGAAATGTCAAAAAAAGGGGGGGGGGGGGGGGGGAGGCGAAATTCAGTACACATACGTTGAGGCTTATTACTCACCTCTTAGTCGCTGAGTGCCCTATTGTAATACTAATAATTCTCTCTAGTATGACGTGCTATTATCGTTGGTTCGAGGAATACATCAATATTGGTGTTCATTTTTTTCGAATGAACATTTTGATATTATACATATGTCCTGAAAATAATGGAAACTCTAGCTTCTCAGATATAACCGATGTATCAAGCACAAAAAGTTTATTCATATTCACTAAATCCGCAATACTTATACGGTAATCTTGCAGAGACCCGAATAACATTAACGGTATCCTAGCAAGCTATTTTATTCTATTTCGCATAATCTTTTCAGAACATTTTCCACATTTAATGACCTATTGTAATATGGTTAAATGGAGTTTCTAACATGTTCGCAAACACGAGAAAGAAATTCAATGTTGATTGGGTTTGGCCTTTAAATTTTGGCATGAACGGAATCCTCGAATGAGTAGGGGGCCATCTACTTAGGACGTCTGGCAAATAGGGAGGGGGGTTTTCATTTATGACTGCGACCCCCTCTCATACACTTAGCGTCAGCCTAGCCTCTTGATTGACGAGGAGGAGAGGTCATCATGTCAACCCTTCGCAGAGCAACGATCTCGATGCGAAGCAAGAATGATGGTTCGCGTCGAAGCGGCGAGTCCAACCTAGTCTCTAAATAAGTTGGACCTTTGAGTTCAAATAATTCCTGGCAACAACACACTGTACCACTCATTAATCATCTCCAAATTATGAATACTTACATTAAATACAACACGTGAAGTCCGCATGTCAATATGATATGCTTGTTATTATGATATTCAATTAACTATAAAGATTACAAAAACCCAGGCTCTCATGGTCTCCAAGCAGTAGTCATTACTCTTTAATTCTTGTTAATTCTTGTTAATTCTTGTTAATGTCTCCGTGTTATTCTATACATTTCATCTCAATCTACCTACCCATTCTGAGATCACTATAGGGCGAAAGATCAGCTTATATTTTTAAATAGAATTGTATTTTATTATATAATGTTATACCTTTACTTTCCGTAACATTCATTTCTCAAGCCTAGTATGGATTAGGTCGCTTTAAGTGTTAGAACCATAAACCGATGCGGTGCAATTTGTGGGGCTGCTATTACTGCTTTACTAGCACATGTGTCAGTATATATTATAATGGGCCCTTTAATCTCCTAAAACAGGTGCAGAACTTCCGCTGGACAATTAACATTTCATTGGTTTCGTTTCTGAATACAGTTCAGTGGCGTAATGTTGCCTGTTGCCCCCCCCCCCCCCCGCCGAAAATGCGCCCCCCTGTTGGCGCCCCCTCCCCTTTTGGCGCCCCACCCTAAAACTGAACAAATTAGCTGATTTTAGAGGATACGCCGGTAAAATCTCTCAAAAATTGTGTTTCTAGAGCAAAACGTGCAGTTTTGCTAGTACCTCAATTAAGTTTTTCAACTGAGGGGTCAGCGGGGCCCTTCGTTACGCCACTGATGCAGTTCATGTATTGATACCTTAAATTCAAAGCTTATAGTTATAACTTCTGATGTTGCTTTAATACCGACTTATTTGAATTATTAACAGTAAATATTAGGCTTCAGTTCACGTCATAAGGCCGTGTAAATGACCTTAGAAATTCAACCTGTATTGTCACCATACCAAAAAGAATGTTAAATCTATTTTCGTGAAAAGGTGTTTCGTGTCGTACTATAATTCCTTCAATATTGTCAAATTGTTCACGTTACAAATATTAATAAATCTCTTAGGACATTTGTAAAATTAGCCCTGGTCTTACTCTTAGAGCTGAGAGTCTGATTCACAATTTTAGGAACTGGTGACTGGTGAGTTAAAGGAACTACTTACAAAAGTGATTCAAACTTGATTTTTTCACGAAAATGTTTCTTTTCGTATTAATTGTGCAAACGTCAATGTGAGGTGAAGCACAGGTATGCGGGAAATTGAATTACTTCTTTTAAAACGCATTACTTTAATTTAAACGCATCACTGTTGGTACATGGGAACAATGTGCTGTAATGTGTTAATCTGTAAAACGGTATGATAACAGTGTAGGAAGTGAGGTGATGTAGTGGCGAGATATGACATTAACTATTATAAGATATAACATTAACTATTAAGATATAACATTAACTACTGTATTACTAAAACATGGCTGTCAGTTTAAATAATTACAAGGTTATATTGTAGGGGAAATTTCATAAATAAAGATCTTGTAATAATAGTAATAGTAATAGTATGACATGTCATATATATAAAAGCTGTGGATACTGGTGGGGAGGTGAAACATTTTTGTTTTGACTCCTTCGAGTCCTTACAGGGATTTGATTGATAGATAGTGATACTGGAAGCTGATTGACTAAGGGTTCGTTCACATATTACGTAATAAATTTGTGGCTAATTTATATCCCCCATTCCCCCCTCCGTAATCAGTTTTACACATAGCTATTGTATCAAAATTACACTAGTGTAATCATTTGGAAACTCCGGCCTCCGGGCCCTCCCTCTCAGCTGATTACGTAATATGTGAACGACCCCTAATCACTGTCGCGTTTAAGGGAAAATGCTTGGGTGGGCGACAATTGACCCCCCGACAAATGACCCCCCGACAATTGACCCTAACCCTAACCCTAACCCTAACCCTAACCCTAACCCTAACCCTAACCCTAACCCTAACCCTAACCTTGTCGGGGGGTCAATTGTCGTACTAAGCCCTAGATTTCGCGACAATTGACCCCAGTGTAATTACATAGGGGGTCAATTGTCGGGGGTCAATTGTCGGGGGTCAATTGTCGGGGGTCAATTGTCGGGGGGTCAATTGTCGCGGTACGAAAATGCTTCACCTGGCAGTATCCAGATCTAGAGGGAGTAGGGTACATAAGAATTAAGAGGGCTACACAGGTTTTGCTCCCGGTAGATACCTATCAAGCAAGAAGGTATACCTTCTTGCTTGATGGTATAAAGATGGCCTGGCCTGAATAATAAAGTTCAAACATAAGATTTCGTTCCTTTATTGTAATTAATAAAACTTCTTCTAGTTTTGGGACAAAACGTTTATATATATATATTACACTGTATAATGAATAGTACTTGCCATTTTGCATTTAAGTCTTGTCCTTAACACTTTACATTGAAGGCTTTTATTCGACTTGGTTATTTCTCCGTTTTATTTCTTTTCAGTTATACTAATTTTCTATTGAGAGTGTGAGTGATGTCGATTGGTTAAACCAGAAAATACACTTAAAACGAAACAAGTTAATGCCTGATATTCTGCTTGTGGGGTTAAGTCTGTTAATTATTACCAGCACTTGCAGCACTATGTCGGTCATATTGCTTCTACCACGATTAGGAGTATAAAGATCGTGATTTTGTGTTAAAAGTCACTTATCGTGGCAAAAAGTCAGAAGAAGATTTTCTCCCGAGTTCTAGTGGTTTGCAAATCCTGCACTTAGTGAATCTGTACCTGAAGACCACTAATATGGCAATGTGGCATACCGCATACCGCTTAACTACATACTGAACTACCTACTGCATACCACTGAACTACCTACTTATGTAATTATTTATATATTTATCCCATTAATTATATTATTAACTCATTACATGGCCAAACCACTCCTTCTTATTTGCCGTCTCTTTACCGAACCAAGTCTCTCAGAGTGAGACATCAAACTCATTTTTTGGTCTCTTGAAGGCATAAATTCCGTTGCTGTCATAGTGGATTTCATACCGTTTAGCATCGGCATATTTATTTATTATAAAACCTAAAAACTATGGGATATTAGAAAAATCTGATAACAGCCCTCCCCTGCTTATATCTCGTGGACTTGGCAAATGTAAAAACGTGAACTGGGTATGTATGTAAAAACTACGGAAATATAAGTCTTCGTAAAGTTTATGCAGCATTGATGGTTTAGTGTTATTGTTCTTATTATCACTTTATCATTAATTCCAGTTTAAAATTTAAGGCGTTTATCATTGAAGGTATCTTTACAATACCCAATCGCTGCACTGTAAGGTGGCACTGTGCGTTATGCACTATGCTAATTATGCATTAACAATAATAACATTTAACATATAATCTCTGCTATAATACGTTAGCGTTAATGATTTGTTACAAAATGTCCTAACTCTTCGTCTGATATAATAGTTTACAAGTTTAACTTATTAATCAGGTTGCTTGATGCTTTCTTTTTAGGCTTCTTTGGTCACAGCTTTTTTGGCACATGAAGTGTTTGTTATTTCTTTTTGGACACTTGATTCATTATTGTAGTTAATATTTCCAGTGACTTGGTATTTTAATGCTAAGATCACTTTACCATGTCGTTCAGATATTTGATCGAGTGATCCCACAGAGATATACAGTTTAAGATTCATGGATTCCAGGAATAGTTTGATTCCAGATTGATTAACCATGCATAGATCTGCTAAGTCCATGTAATCTTTGCATGCGCGATAATAAATCCAACGGAGGAACTTTATTTGAACCATATTGATCGAACGATAAAATAGTATCCTTAGCGGCATTTCTCGTTCTATTGTGTATTATTGGTTTCACTAATTCGCTAATCACTTCAGTAATCACTTCTTCCCTGTCTAGATATGGGGCAGTTCATTTTCTCATTCTCGTTTTTGTTTTAGCTGTTTAGAATTCATATTTGAAAGTTTAGTGTTTTCTTGATAACATAGGTCTTTGTTTCGAATAGAAATACATTTTTATACGGCGATTTGCTCAGAATTTTAAACTTTGCTGGTTCCCACATACTAAAGACAATAGAAAAAGTCGTATCCTCAAAATTAAAGACGTATTTAAATCATGATATTAAAATGATCAATTACCATAAAACGCGGGCCAACTATTTTGCAGGTAAATCACCGATGGTATGAGTTTGGGAGGTAAAGGTGGTAACAAAAGACCAATATTTTGCTGGAATGCGCTCCCCTTGCACGTGTGAGTCTTTTATTTATTTTGAATTTTAATTGTACCCGGCTAGTAGTGAAACCGCTAAATTTCAGTTACCATGTTTGGGGTTCTCAATTCGAAATTTGTCAGGTTCTCTCTCTCTCTCTCTCTCTCTCTCTCTCTCTCTCTCTCTCTCTCTCTCTCTCTCTCTCTCTCTCTCTCTCTCTCTCTCTCTCTCTCTCTCTCTCTCTCTCTCTCTCTCTCTCTCTCTCTCTCTCTCTCTCTCTCTCTCTCTCTCTCTCTCTCTCTCTCTCTCTCTCTCTCTCTCTCTCTCTGTTCTGGTCAACGGTTTCTGGCCTCTTACTAAAAAGATGGAGGCCTTATCACCGTGCCCACAGAATGCAACTCCTGCTAGCTGCACGCCAGGACTCCCAAAGTATATACGAAATCATAAAATAATAAATATCAATGCAACAGACCCCTGGAGTCTTGAAGCTGTCACTACCTGTCTCAGAGCAACATCTCAAGTGGAATGTTCCATTTGTCAGGTTATCAATGGAAATATTCTAACGTTGCAAAAATAATATATTTTAATTTTTTGAAAGCCTATTTTATAGAAAGTTTTAGGGTTACGCTTTCTAACTGCTAGTGCTATACTGTTGCTTGTTGCTTAGTTTGTTACACCAAAAACCCATGAAATGAAAATTGTACCATTATCCACGCCTCTATCATTCATTCATTCCTCTGGTCTCCGTATGAACGATTTCCTGTTCAGTCCTAGTCCCAAACATCACATCGGGGTCCCTAGCACCTTGATATTGGGCTTAAATGCAGAAAATTATAAATGAATAATTGAACACTCATACAATTTACTTGTGTGTGTTTTACAGAAGCGGCATGTAATTGTTATATCTTGCGATCCGTGATCCAAATCTATTGTGATCTCCTCTTATCAAAACTAACAACTCTAACCGGGTAACTTTTCGGCTAGTTCTTGGCCCTTATTCATAGTTAAGTTGATACTAAAAGATTCGTCTTATCAAGCTGATTACAATTCTGTAAAAAAATTTTTTTTAAAAACTGATACTTTTTGAGTTCTAGGCATTTTAAGCCTTAAATCTTCCATTTTGATTGGGTGACATCTGTCCGACAGCGACATCTGTCCGACGCAGAAAATAAGTTATTCGGACAATAGTTTATGTCGGATCCTACCGTACGATTTTTCTTGAAACTTTCCATAAAGTATGGTGGTCATAGGACGGATAATCTGTGTAAGTTTGAGCGAGTTTCTATGTGCCAAATTTGAGATATCACCTTAAACACAAAAAATATCTCCAATTCGGTGGTTTGCAGCGGTTCCAAGGCATCTGGAGATCGAACGATACGATTTTCTTGAAACTTTCTAGATAGAAAGATAGCTTTAAGACAAATAATTTGTGCAAGTTTGGGTGAATTTCTATGTGCCAAATTTGAGATATTACTTCAAACAAAAGAAAATAGTGCTGTCGGTCAGATGTCGCTGTCGGACAGATGTTGTGTTACCGCCATTTTTGGCCCTTTTATTTATACGATGAATTTTACTTAGTCCTTTGAGGCCATATTTCATACCTTAAACCTGAAACTTGAGAGAAATCCTGTTCCAAAAAGTTTGATATGATTATCAGCTACATTCTACACTGTACACTCACAAGAATTTTTGAAGCGCTATCTATGACCTGGGTGGTTGGTAAAATATACAACCTTGTTTGGTCTGTAATTCGTCATCTATTGTTTAATTATAAAATCCTTTGAGGGGGGGGGGGGGGCTTCTTGTACGGATTGTCAATAATGTTCAGTAAAAAAATCAACAAAAAAAACTTTTAAAATGACTGAAATATCGGTTTTACAGTGACAGACTTCTCAAAATTGAAAAAACTTTCCAAAAAGAAAATGTCTTTTTTTTCGAAAGAGCGTACTCTCAACAAATTTGTACAGTGTATCAAATCTTATTGTTTTTATCTATACTTTCATAATATGAAGTCAAATCGCGGGTCCCGGCAAAAAAGGTTTTGGTGAAGGTATGTCCCCTTAATAGTTCTGGGGTTCCTCCAAGTTCAGGTCAGATCCTATCTTTCTTATGGACCATTAAGTGATTCGTCGGGTCGGTTCACGTCACGTATTTCGAAGTGATCCACTGATCCAGTCGTAAGCAGCAGGTGATCACAATTCCTTCGGGTCGGTTCAAGCCACGTATGTCCAAGCTTGTTCCAATGAGTTAATTGTAAGCAGCAGATGATCCTAATTCCTATCACACGCATCGTATAAAGACATATCTCTGATTGGGATAACAAGTTCATATGCTTGGGCCATATATAAGGCTTCTTCCACCACAAGCAAGCCTTCCCATGTCGCATAACAGTCCAGGTAGCGTACTGTAGTGCGACAGTGTCGGCCTTGGAAATTCTCTGTCGCACTTGAGTTCGTGTCGCACTACAGTCAAGGTAGCGTACTATAGTGCGACAGTGTCGATCTAGGGTACGTTTCGCACTAGGGTACATGTCGCACTACGATATGTGAATCCTTATTCAGGACGAAAAAAAACCTGATCATACTTGTTTTATTTGTGAGACATCATTATTTGTTATATCAACTCTTCTCCACGCAGTATAAGTGTACATTATGCATTACTTTATCCACGATTCTGTAATTGATTACTCGAATACCAAGACAATTATTTTATCACACTTTACAAGTCTACCATCGTAATCTACATTATATTGTTAATTGCTTGAAGAAATTACACACAAGTGAACATTTCCTACCTATGTAAATTGATGAAGCTGCCTCGTTTTATACATTGTTCTCTCTACAGATTACAGTTAATTGCCTTAATCCAAATTGTTGGCCTTGTACACAAAAATAGCTCAATCCAACGGATTGGTCCTTGAACTGCTCCCCCGTGTCCGACAAGAAGTTGTCCCAATCTACACGCCTGCTGATGGGACGGTACGTGCCCAACACGTGGTCACGTGGTCTGAACAAGATATCAGCAGCAGTGGAGAGTGTCCTGGTCCGCTGGGAGGACTGCACTTTTCCTGAAGTGTCTGAAGAATATGATGAGGGCCTGCCACGACTTGTCAGGTGAGCAAACATAGCTGTTAGGTGAAACATAGCTGTGAAAGTGAATGTCAGTTTCTTTAAATGATCTGCACACTGTTTGCGACATCTTTTATTGTTTCCTAAAATGAAACTATGATTATAGTTTCAAGTATAATCCGAACTCAAACTGAACTTATTGGAAAGAAAGAAAGAAATATTGTTATCCACTTAGTTATGCAGATTCAGCTTATAAACTGGTATAGATTTGATATAGAACCTCTCCCGTGAACCTACACTCCTTTGCATTGGGATATATTGTCCGTTTTGTTTGCATCCTGTGCTGTCGTATAGGGAACCAAAACTTTTCCAAAATGAATAGCAATTCTATTTCTAGTAATTCGACTGTAGCCACTCGTTCAATCCATGAGTGGAGCTATCAAGAGTTTTGTCTCCATGGACCCTGCTCGAAACTGGCGACCAAAGAGGAAGAGACAAAACCATTTATGTGATTATTTACAAATTTGTCTCATTAACTGTTATACTGGCACTTATTCATATACAAACCAGGAAGTTTCAGGTGAATCAACTAATCAAAGTATCCATTAGACCATTCTTGAGACTTTCTATGATTATGAACTTACGACGATTTCGTGGCCTCTGTCATTATGTAATGGTTTATTAACGGTTACCCAATTGGCTTATGTTTTCGTAGGGGTCGTTTATATTTATGGACTTTATATAATTGGAATGTGGTATATTACATCATCATGACTGTACTATTCTGTGCCGATATCTTGTAAACTAATTAAATTTTATATGAGGCTGTGAGCTATTTCTAGCAATACCTATTTTAAGTATCTAAACGTAAACTATGATAATGATTATACTTTCAACACTACTTTTATATAACAAATAATTTTAGGAAGTGATGTAACAGAGCCGATATATCTAACGTTCCCAAGGGCCGGCAAGTCCCCATTCATAGCAGGCCGCTAGTTTTACTGTCCCTTAATATCAGCATCTGGTGCTCCAGTCCTTCCAAGCGCCAACATTTGTTGAGTCTTTTCTGAAAATTACATTTACTGAAAACTTATTCATCGTAATTTGATTTTGATATTTACTACATTATTTATCCTTCATTTCATTTACTACTAACTATGAATGATTACAGTGAGTACATTTGTATCGGTATGCGGGTATGTTGCGGTTTAACCCGTTAAACGTGACAAGTGAATGCAACCGCAATTTGTAGCTGTCGTGCTCCAACCAAAATTATTAACATTGTTACTATTTCTCGAATTTGAAAATCGTTGTATTTTGCTTGTTTGGAACCTTTATCGTGGCCCTTACTAATCGTTCACATAATTAGTTTGAAATTGGTTTTCGCCTTTTGAAGATTAGTGGAAACAACTCTGTGGCTAGTGAAATACAATCAGACATAAAGGAATTACGGTTTACTGGTAATCTCAGCCACCTGTCAGTATCGGACCATAAACCCAAGTTCCAGTCTAACTAAAGACCACATACTACACTGTCATGCCACGAGTCTAAGTATCTATCTTCAGAAAGCAGTCACGACAGTTCAATTCACCTATCTCACCACTTTTTCTTTCTAGTTAAAGTGCGTGTGTTTCTTTCAATCTAGACCTTGTTAATAAGGAAGTTTGGGTGTTGTATTTAGCTACATATCCCAAAACATCTCTATTAACAAGGTCTAGATTGAAAAAAATACACGCACTTAAGAAAAGAAATTAAGTTGAGTCTTGTTGTATTTCCAAAGCTCTAGTCACTCCTGACGTATCCTAGGCTTAATCACAAATTGTGCAGTTCAGCAGAATTTGATACTAAGTTACAAGAGCTACATGTTGCATCATTCTCTGTTTAAACTTCAACTTTTTGCCCTGCTAGCCAAATTACCACTCTGGAATCCAGAGTGGTAATTTGGCTAGCAGGGCAATTTTAGGCTGGAA